CCCCCCCCCTTTCAGGATCACATGATCAGCTAGTGTCACCCTCAGCCTGCCTGGTGGTGGGGAAAGTAGTCAGAGGTGGAACAGGACTCTTTGAACTGAAGCAGCCTCTGCAGTAGAGACAGAGATGCTGACAGTGGTTAGATATGATGTGATAAGATCACAGCTGATCCGGTCTGCAGGCTCCTTACATCCTCTACAGAATGCATCAGTAAATATGTTTATTTCCTTTTAGCAAAAGCCTTCCAGGCTGCAACGTTTCATTAAAAGAACATAAAAACTGATGGAATAAGTCACTTTGTTTTCATTTCTTAATAAAAGGAATATTGAATTTTGTATTTTTGTTATGTATGTATTTTGTGACAGTATTGGGACTGTTTGAATTGTAAACAACATCAATTTATGTTTTTGGGAACACAACAATAGTCATTCAGCATTATAGACAGGCCTTGAGCAGGTCCAGAGTGTCTTTATTAAGTTCGTTTGGTAAAGGAAAAAAAGATGAATCTGATTACTTACTCTAGCTCAAGCTCAAGACTCTGAACAGAGGTCAGTCTTTTCAGTGAATTGAGGTCATGAGGTCTAGATTTACAAACATATGTGTGTCATTCTAAAGCTCTCACTGTGTTCAAGGGCCGTACTCTATCGGGATGCTACTGTCAGTCTGTAAAATATCTGTTACTGCAGAGATAATGATTAAGAAGTGCAACAGGTCATCCAAGATGACTAAAGTTGGCATAATCACCAAGTGCTGAGGCACACGGTGAGCAAAAACCGCCGTCACTGCTGACTCAAAACTTTCCAGAGCGTCATGATATGGGTGTCCATGAGTAAGCAGCTCCTGCATGTGTAATGTGTAGGTGGCTGAGTAATTAGTGTGTACTTTAAAGCATAAGCTCACCCAGAAAAACTATAGTTAGTGTGTTGAAAATATTCCGATGTCACAGTCCACCAGTCCAGTGTGAGGTGGGTTCATTGATCCAGTCCTGCACCCAGACAAAATGTATCTACTGTTTCTCTCCTGATTTATTTACACTTTTACATCTCTGGCTTATTTATCCTAAACCTTATTGTGTAACCTGTAAAGTTGGTTCTGTGTATTTATCTCGATTTATAAATCTGCATTACTACTGTTCTAACAGTAAATCTAACGGATTTTACTGTGCATTTCAGTTTACAACATGTTTTGTGGACAAATTTTGCAAACAGCTACCGTTGCCTGTAGCGCTAACGGGACACTGAAATGTTGGGAGGCTTTTATTACGAAAGAACGGAAATGATGGGAACTTTTACGCAATTTGATTGGTTGGTTGGTCTCCTGCGGTAGGACCGACCAGTGAAGGTGGTGTGATAAAGCTGCAGAATCTCGAGATGTGATAATGTACCCTCGTGCGAAGGATGCGCCGTGACCGCTCGTGGATATCTATGGAAGGGTGAGTCATAACGAAATGAGGCGAAACAGTAGAAGCTGGTTTGAAAGGCGTCAGCAGTTGGGGGTAAAATACAGTTTGGTTCGATATGGACACAATGGTCAGCCTGTAAGCTGACTTGAGCCTTCGTTGCTGGTCATTGTTTTGCTACATTTTGAAGCTGCCGATATTAACAGTCGGCCGCTGATGCTGTATCTTTTTTTTTGTCCTATTACAAAAGCTTCGCTGTATTAAAAATATTTGCGTTACTTGTAAATAAGCAGTTGATTATCCATGTGATATTTTCACGCAGTTTAGCGGAATTTAATTATACAGCGTTTGTAAAAACGTTATGGCGCATTTATCCACAATCCTCGGCTCTGCGCAGGACCGTCCCGACAGACCTACGTGCGCGAGACGTTAGCAAAGAAGGAGAAAGCCGAAGCTACGAAAAGCAAAAATGTTTAGCTTTGTTTTATTTTTACTTTTTCAAGGGCTGGTAGGCCGGTTGTTAAGAGACTCGGAGCAATAAAATCATTTACCTTCACAGGCCACATTTACTGTGTCAGACACCCGCCGCCCCGGCCTTTTCTCCGAGCATTTATAAAAGGCTTCTTAATCTGTCCCTGGAGTTCTTACCACTTAACGGCAGCAGGGATGCAGTAAACACTCATACTGATTTAATACGAGGGAGCAATGGGACCGCATTAAGAAAAAAAAATATTACGAATAATTTTGAGAATAAAGTCGAAATTTCGATGTTAGAGTCTAAATAGTATTTTGAGGGGGGAAAAGTTAGCTTCTGGCACATAAGCACGAAGTGATAAGAGCTGCGCCTATCAGAAGACAACCGCAGGGTACACCCTTGTGTAAATGAAGAGGATGTATCTTGTATCACAAGACTTGGTAAGAGAGTTGATCATGTGCCACTCAGTCACACAAAGCGTTTTGTAGATGACAACTGTGATCTGCACATTTGTACTTTTGTTTCTCAGCATAGTATTCCGAGTTTGATGTCCACTTTTCTGGACATTTCGTGCAGTCAGAGATAGATGCACAAAAGAAAAAAGTAGGCTGAGGTTTGGGTGGAATACATTTTCATTCAGGAAGTTGTTGAATAATAATTCAGGGACAGCGATGGGTCTGTGTGATGTGTTGTATTAGGCTTTACAGGGAGTGCAGAATTATTAGGCAAGTTGTATTTTTGAGGAATAATTTTATTATTGAACAACAACCATGTTCTCAATGAACCCAAAAAACTCATTAATATCAAAGCTGAATGTTTTTGGAAGTAGTTTTTAGTTTGTTTTTAGTTTTAGCTATTTTAGGGGGATATCTGTGTGTGCATGTGACTATTACTGTGCATAATTATTAGGCAACTTAACAAAATACAAATATATACCCATTTCAATTATTTACTTTTACCAGTGAAACCAATATAACATCTCCACATTCACAAATATACATTTCTGACATTCAAAAACAAAACAAAAACAAATCAGCGACCAATATAGCCACCTTTCTTTGCAAGGACACTCAAAAGCCTGCCATCCATGGATTCTGTCAGTGTTTTGATCTGTTCACCATCAACATTGCGTGCAGCAGCAACCACAGCATCCCAGACACTGTTCAGAGAGGTGTACTGTTTTCCCTCCTTGTAAATCTCACATTTGATGATGGACCACAGGTTCTCAATGGGGTTCAGATCAGGTGAACGAGGTGGCCATGTCATTAGTTTTTCTTCTTTTATACCCTTTCTTGCCAGCCACACTGTGGAGTACTTGGACGCGTGTGATGGAGCATTGTCCTGCATGAAAATCATGTTTTTCTTGAAGGATGCAGACTTCTTCCTGTACCACTGCTTGAAGAAGGTGTCTTCCAGAAACTGGCAGTAGGACTGGGAGTTGAGCTTGACTCCATCCTCAACCCGAAAAGGCCCCACAAGCTCATCTTTGATGATACCAGCCCAAACCAGTACTCCACCTCCACCTTGCTGGCGTCTGAGTCGGACTGGAGCTCTCTGCCCTTTACCAATCCAGCCACGGGCCCATCCATCTGGCCCATCAAGACTCACTCTCATTTCATCAGTCCATAAAACCTTAGAAAAATCATTCTTGAGATATTTCTTGGCCCAGTCTTGACGATTCAGCTTGTGTGTCTTGTTCAGTGGTGGTCGTCTTTCAGCCTTTCTTACCTTGGCCATGTCTCTGAGTATTGCACACCTTGTGCTCTTGGGCACTCCAGTGATGTTGCAGCTCTGAAATATGGCCAAACTGGTGGCAAGTGGCATCTTGGCAGCTGCACGCTTGACTTTTCTCAGTTCATGGGCAGTTATTTGGCGCCTTGGTTTTTCCACACGCTTCTTGCGACCCTGTTGACTATTTTGAATGAAACGCTTGATTGTTCGATGATCACGCTTCACAAGCTTTGCAATTTTGAGACTGCTGCATCCCTCTGCAAGATATCTCACTATTTTTGACTTTTCTGAGCCTGTCAAGTCCTTCTTTTGACCCATTTTGCCAAAGGAAAGGATGTTGCCTAATAATTATGCACACCTGATATAGGGTGTTGATGTCATTAGACCACACCCCTTCTCATTACAGAGATGCACATCACCTAATATGCTTAATTGGTAGTAGGCTTTCGAGCCTATACAGCTTGGAGTAAGACAACATGCATGAAGAGGATGATGTGGACAAAATACTCATTTGCCTAATAATTCTGCATTTCCTGTATTTTTATGGAGACTAGCTGACAGTGTAATTACTGTAAGATAATTTGTTCCTTAAAAGCAAGCAAAAACAGAAGCAGTTAAAAACACTATATTAGTGTAACCTGTCACATTGTGCTCTAACTCCAACTCTTTAGTGCACTGTGCTCCACAGAACGTAGGCTTACCACACAGCTGTAACGTATTAACAGTTATTAACTTAAACTGTCCTTTCTGTGCACTTTGTTTTTTAAACATGCATTCAATTAAAGTCGATTAGGTCAATTAAGCATTATAAGGCGGAAGGTGGGGGGTGGTTCCCTTTCTTTTTTGCTGGGAGTTGGCAACCCTATAAGTTAGGTTATTTAATATTTCTGCTAAGTTCTCTTTAAAATACCAGAATAGGAAGGATGGTGCAGCTTTAAGTTTATTAGACTGATCACTTTTGCTGAACTATTAAATATTTTGGGTGCAGTGTATTTTTTGCATACAGGTGTAACAGAGTAGCTTTAGTTTAGTTTAGTTTTTTTAAACTTGAGTATGAACTTATACAAAATGCAGAAAGATATTTTAAAAAAACGTTTTATTGATTATAAAATACGCTATATCGGATTTATATCGGTATCAGCAGATATTGAAATTTATGATATACAGCTTGGAGTAAGACAACATGCATGAAGAGGATGATGTGGACAAAATACTCATTTGCCTAATAATTCTGCACTCCCTGTGTTATTGAATCCACACAGCCCCGTGATGCCTACTTGTAGATACCGAGGATGCAGTGAAACCGCTCAAACTGATGACTTTATTTTTATAGTTGCTTCTGAGGTCTTGTCTTAAGGGCTCATAGGTGTTGTTCATAGGAAGTATTCATTTATTAATCCGTATCGCTGTTTCTGTGCCTGTGATGAGGTCCACTATGGGCAGCTGTGGTGGAGAAATGGCAAAATTGAGTGCTTTGGTTAGCTTCTTCTTTTCAGTTTCAGGGAGGTTCCTGTTTAATAAGTTCTTCACCCACTTTTCCCGGCAGTCTTCGGTTGTGGTGTCTTCTTGTTCTTATGTGTATGGTCTCGGCATTGACTCAGAATTATAAGGTTTTGTTTTACAATGAGTGAAATCTCCAAAGTTGCCTTTCTTTTCATTTAATGTGTTAGAAACTTCTTCTTAAATAGGGAAGGCTAGGAGTGTTTTGAGTTAATGCAGTCTGGTTGATCTCACTCTATGGTAGAGATGGCACTATACCACTTTTTTATGTCTGACACGATATCATAAATTTCAATATCTGCTGATACCGATATAAATCTGATATTGATTATATTTTATAATCAATAAAACGTTTTTTTTAAAATATCTTTCTGCATTTTGTATAAGTTCATACTCAAGTTTAAAAAAACTAAACTAAACTAAAGCTACTCTGTTACACCTGTATGCAAAAAATACACTGCACCCAAAATATTTAATAGTTCAGCAAAAGTGATCAGTCTAATAAACTTAAAGCTGCACCATCCTTCCTATTCTGGTATTTTAAAGAGAACTTAGCAGAAATATTAAATAACCTAACTTATAGGGTTGCCAACTCCCAGCAAAAAAGAAAGGGAACCACCCCCCACCTTCCGCCTTATAATGCGTAATTGACCTAATCGACTTTAATTGAATGCATGTTTAAAAAACAAAGTGCACAGAAAGGACAGTTTAAGTTTAAGTGACAGTTTAAGTTAATAACTGTTAATACGTTACAGCTGTGTGGTAAGCCTACGTTCTGTGGAGCACAGTGCACTAAAGAGTTGGAGTTAGAGCACAATGTGACAGGTTACACTAATATAGTGTTTTTAACTGCTTCTGTTTTTGCTTGCTTTTAAGGAACAAATTATCTTACAGTAATTACACTGTCAGCTAGTCTCCATAAAAATAATGTGATCTTTATGAGTCTTTGCTGATAAGATGTTACATAAAATTTGATGGTTGAGTGTGTGTGTGTGCGTGTGTGCTTGTAGATTTATTTATGGTCCAAATACGTGCGGCTGACACAGAGTGTGACTGTCAGAGGGCATTCAGCAACATTAGCACTCATAGTTGAAGGGTGTTTCTCCTCTTTCCTTTCTTAAATTTTAATTATATGACCCCCAATAAATGCAGACACCAAAATATCTGCAAATAGCCAATACTGGGCTCTAGTGACTAAACTTTCAAAATAAAAGCTGTGTTTGTCCACTAATTAATTCATCTCATATGGTGACCTTCATACTGGAATGAGCTGAGGAAGATGCTCAGTAAAGTCTGTGTGCAGGAAACCTGAGTATTTTTCAGTGACCAAAAACTCGAGTCATGCATAGAACATCCACTGTTTTCAATGTTTGGTAATGGCCATGCCTGTGTGTGCAGGTCAGGACTCCTGACAGTCAGAGGGCTTCAGTCTACAGCAGAGACCAGAAGACGTCCCAGAACAGAGAGACCAGCATGAGGCTTCAGATACGCTGGGCAGCACACAGGTGATATTCAGAACACAGAAGACTCCCAATGATTTTGGTGGTTATATATGGAGGACCAGGAAAGTCATCCATATATAAATTAGAGATGGACCGATCCGATATTACGTATCGGTATCGGTCCGATACTGACCTAAATTACTGGATCGGATATCGGAGAAAAATAAAAAATGTAATCCGATCCATTAAATATCAC